AGGGAAGCAGAAGGATGGAGTGCCCATTCCTGATTCACAAATAGCAAGACAAACTACTTGAAGGAGTCCTGCTCAGGAGCTTGGGTTGAGTATGGGAGAAAATTATACTGGGGATTGTGTGTTGTGGCCTCAGTGCTTGGTGCACTTCTTGGTCTGAAGTCCTAGAAGTCCTAGGCTTTGTCCCAAAGGCTTGAGAACACTGTAGGGGCAGTTGTGACTGGCATCTCTCCCAGACCTGCTTGCCTAGAGAGGACATGGGAGGTTGCTTTCTCCTTAGCAGGCTCCTGAACACAGTACTAACAGCAGCAAGTAGGAGCGATAAAAATCTGAGCATTTATGATGTCATCTTTTTAACTCCTGAAGAACTGTCATGGTGATTTAGATGCACTATGCACTTTATCTATGACATCCTTGGTTGATTACTTGCTTTACCAGGTAATACCAGATTACACCAGATGTGTGTAATTCTGTTGGTCCTATAGTTCAATTGTTCATGATTTCTGTCAGAATGAAGCCCATGATATCTCAATGTAGTGTACTAGTTAAATACTGATTTCTTTTACTCTTAGATTTGCCTGAGCCCTTTCTTATCTTTAACCGATTAATGATTTGGAGCTACTATGAATTCAGATAATGGACTAAAGGATTAACAAACCAGACAGAGTCAGTTTTCTTCTACATAATCTGCAAGTCTTACAAAAGTCAACTTCTCCAAGGCAAGCAGCACTTTAACTAAGTAAGGGAGGCCAGTCAGCACTAGCTTTGACATGATGAGCAATCAGGGTGGAAAAAGCACAATGAGTGTTTTTTGTGCCTAGGGTGGTAAATTTGTAGATGCACCAGATTCAGTACATGTGTACACGTCTGTACAGGGTGTGTCTTTTGGAATGGTTTACTGGAGCTTTTGGAAAAGAAGAGCCCAGGAAGTATCACTCAAGCACCATGTCTGATATTGCTGTCTGCTGCGTTCAAGTCCCTGAAATATTTTATGAGCTTTGTGAAATTCAGCATTAGGTAGGATTGAAAAACACCCTGGATCCTCAGGTCAATGGGAGGAGCATGCTAAACAAAGCAGTGGAGAAACAGCAGGACTCCTCAAAGCCTCACTTTATGCTCACTTTCCTCTCCCCATGCCCACGATGGTATCATGGTCCCTCCTGCACTGCTACCCTGTAGTGGCAGCCAAATCAGACGCTCAAGGCAGCAGGACCTAAGGAGCAAAAGCAAAGGTCTCAAACCTGTGCTAAAACTTGCATGAAATCTTAAACATGACCCAGGCTGCTCTTTCCTTGCTATCATAACATATCAATTTGAAGCCTGCGGAATTATTTGTTTAATGTCAGTAAATGCACCAGGGCATTGTAGCTTGGTGCTTTCTAGGGCTTTACACTGGGCTGATCCTTTTGGAGTCTTTCTGTGAAAACCACATTCTTTAATCTATAGTAAAGCCTGACAGTTTACAGGGCAAATGCCCCTTTCAGTGGATGAGGAGCACAAAGCATTGCTGGCGGGCACACCCACCAGCCTACAGAGTGGTGGGCAAGAGAAGAGTACAGTAATATCAGGCTGCCATCAGGCTTATTGTATTTGTCTTAAATAACTACAGCCCTGGCCACTGTTTTCTATCCCTGTACTGGCATCAGCAACAGTATGAGCTAGATAACTGGATTAGTAACATGATACAGCTGAAAAATATTCCTAACTGAGGTGGGAGATGAAACAGGCTCTCCTTGAAGAAACCTGGAAGACTGCTGCTTGAAGAATGGGCTAGAGAAAAGACAGAGCCTCCAGCCAGATCCTGTATTTGGCAGATTTAGTTCCTCTCCATATCTGGGGTCTCTTCTTATTTCTTTGTCATTGGGATGAGCTTAGGCACAGGGGACAGAGAAGTGGATTTTCCATTCCATGAAGTGTGGGAGGAGGAGTAGTGTTTCCCAAAATTACCAGCATGAAGGCACCTACCACCTTTGTCTGAGGAGCAAATGTGCAACTGAAGCTGTCAAGAATAACCTGAACTTTTAGTTGTGCTCCTCAAGTGAGCTGTTTTCCTGCACCACTGTGCAGGGACTATGTGGAGCAGCAAGTTCATGACTCAGAAAATTCTCACCTTTGTTCCCAAGCACACAGGCTCTGTTTGTCTCACTGTTACAGGCACATGACAAGGAAAGATTGCCTCTGCAGCTTGTTGAGGGGTAGTGAGTATTTAGGATTGAAATATTTTTGGAGACAGTGATGTGCATGCTTGATGAAACACTAGGGCAAAAGTCTTCAATGTAGGCAGATTTTCCTCGAAAGAGGAAGTTAAATCACACAGGAAACATGAACTCAAGTCCATTTCTGACCCATAGAGTGACTGAAGATAACATTCAGCAAGTTTATGGCAAAACCTGCTCTTCTGAGAGATCTCTAGGGCTATTTCAATACCCCCATAAACCTACCCACTGACTCCTCATTGCAGAGCAATGCAGCTTCATTGGATGTGGGTGTCTTTTGCCTAGTGCATCAATGGCATTGATCATTGAATATCATGAATATCAACATACCCAGGGGAGGCAGGTGTTGAAAAAGGGAGAGGTGAGCCTTTGGAGTTTTTATTATTGTTATTGATTGGATAGATAGAGGTATCTTTTACCCTAGCTGAGCCTTAAATTGATCTAGCAAAAGCTGTTATGAAAAAAACAATGCTGTACAGTGCTGCAGAAGGCAGTCAAACCGGAGGCAGTTAATATGGTGACTTGACAGCTTTGCCACAAATAGTATTTATAAATCATAAAATTGGGTTTTTCCTGCATTCACAGTACCAAGGAACCTGGGGAGATAGAGCTTATTTATAGACATTAGTGCTTGGGAATGGGAAGACAAGGAGAAGGCTTGACCACAAACTGAAGGAAATCCAACATTCCTGATTTCACACGTTCTCCTATCTGGGAACACATGGCAGCACAGTGAGACAGCCTGATGGAGAACGCGTCACCCCAGCAGGATGTCCTGACCCCCTCTGGGCCCACCAAGGGGCGCAGTGCCACGGAACAGACCGGAGCGGCAGCGTCACCCTGGGAAGGGCTGCTAATGGCCCCAGCTGACCCGGCTGGACTGGACCCATGCCCCGGGGGTGATGACCTTTCGGGGAGGTGGGAGGGCAGGAGGCAGAGTGGGCGCTGCCTCCCACTGCCGGTCTGTCCGTGCCGTGCCGTGCCGAGGGGAATTTCACGGGGCTCCTCGTGTCCGACGCCCGCTGCCCGCACTGGGGGCTCCCGGCGAGCGATCACCGCGGCTTTGTCCCGCTGCTCTCCCCGCCCCGGGAAGGCGGGCTGACAGCGCCGGCAGCCCTCGGCACCCCGGCACACGGGGGCTGCTCCGCGCCGCCGCCCCGGGCCCAGCGCTGCCGGCGGGGACAGCGCTCCCGCAGCGGGGCCCTCACACGGCCGGGCT